CAAACAACGATTTTCGTGTTGGACCTACATCGAGTCGGACGATCTAGCCAGAGCGATAGCCAACCAATTCAACACGACGCGCGCTCCTGTTAAATTCCGCGGGGGATTCAATGCAGCCAACTAAATATAATTATCTTCACTAGAGTGCCAACCTTTTTCTCCGACAACCGACGAGGCCCCCGCGCGACCCTCAGCGGAACCCTTCTTTGCTGGATAAATCCTCTGGTTGAAGCTACTCCGTATGAAGGCGTTAGGGATCGGCTCATACGAAGCATGTCAGATGAGCCAAAGCCAGATGCTCCATCTGCCGCCGTAGAAAACAATGCGCAACGTCGAAACTTGACAATAGACACAAGGGCAGCCGCTGGCCGGGGCAGTTCTGCGCAGAGGACCCCGTCGCCTCTTAGCCCTTTGTCCACAACCCCATTACCCAGGGCCAACACCGCACCTATACCACCATGGCAGCCTGCCATATCGCCAGCGTTATCACCGACATCTCCAACCGGCCGCGATCGAGGTTACTCACTGAGACGAGCTCTGTTCACCAGAGGTGTCGGGACACTTGCCACGAAAGGCATCGAGCTTGCGGAAAGCGGACCGCCACAACCACCGCAGGATGGCTACCTTGTCCCACCAACCGCGGCACCAATCGAGGACAAGAAAGAAGACGCAAGACCCGAACTTGCTGCGACACCTGCAGCAGAACTTCCTCCCATACAAGAGTCAAAGAGCAATTTCATAACTGATTCTCTACCGAATTACTCACAATGGGTTATACAGCAGAGGAAAAATGGTCTGATTTCAAGAGTTGAGACGAACTGCAAGAAGACATACAAGGAATTGAGAAAACGCATTCTTAGAATTCAGGATATCCCACCAAGTAAAGATGGACGGCATATATACCTAGACCCGTCGAGGAGACGGCCTTGCATGGACGAAAGAACAAACAAGGACTACATTGGGAACTCTATACGTTCTTCCAGATACACGCTATGGAATTTCTTGCCGAGACAGCTTTTGTTCCAGTTCGGAAAGATCGCTAATTTTTACTTCCTAATTATTTCAATTCTTCAGATGATCCCAGGGCTGAGTACCACTGGTACATATACGACGATCGTTCCGCTGCTAGTCTTCATTACTTTGAGTATGGCGAAAGAAGGTTATGACGATGTCCGCCGTTATAAGTTGGATAAGGCGGAAAACAGGAGAGAAACCAAAGTTATGCGCGAGGTTTCCGAGTCCGAAACTGACGATTCGGATGTTTGGGTTGCCACCAAGTGGCAAGATGTCAAGGTTGGGAACGTTATAAACCTCGCCAGAAACGATGCGGTTCCGGCGGATATTGTACTGCTCCATTCCGATGGCGTGAACAATATTGCCTATATCGAGACCATGGCACTAGACGGCGAAACCAACCTCAAAGCCAAGCAACCGTCTCCCAATATGGCGGGCAAGTGTCAAAATGCGAATGCCATAGCAAAGTGTGATGCGCTATTTGTGGCTGAGGATCCCAATATCGATTTGTACAACTTCGAGGGCAGAGTCACAGTAGATGGCGTCACCCTACCACTTACTACCGTCGAGATTGTTTACCGTGGCAGTGTTCTTCGCAACACAAATACTGCCATTGGAATGGTGGTTAACACTGGAGAGGAGTGCAAAATTCGAATGAATGCCAACAAAAACCCGAGAATTAAGGCGCCTACCATGCAATTCGTTGTCAACAGAGTCGTTATCATTATCGTTTTTTTCGTCCTCGGCTTGGCAAGTATATGCACCATTGCTTACCAGATCTGGTCAAAGAATGTCGAGTCGAAATCGTGGTACCTGTCCAACGCGAGAGTACCAGCTGGGCAAATTCTATCCAGCTTCATCATTATGTTCAACACTATGATTCCACTCTCGTTGTACGTGAGCTTGGAGATTATTAAGTTGTGGCAACTGTTACTCATGAACGACATCGACATGTACGACCCGATTTCTGACACACCTATGCAAGCCAATACTACAACTATCAACGAGGAACTAGGCCAGATCAGCTACATCTTTTCCGACAAGACAGGAACTCTTACAGATAACGTCATGCGCTTCCGTAAGATGAGCGTTGCCGGAGTGTCTTGGCTCCACGATTTTGATATTCAGAAGGAAGCTGCCTTAGCGGCGCCGGCAGGAAAAGCGGCAGGAAAAGGCAAACAAAATGCAAGGAAGTCACGAGGGTCAAGTTCAACCCGCTATACCATCGATTCGACGAACGCGGGCGATAGAAGCTCGGAAGCTGAGTATGGAAAGGGAGCCCTTGCAGGCACCCAAATTTTGAATACTGCAGCACGATCGGTAATGGGGCAATCGCAGCAGCTGAAGACACAACAGCTGCTAGAATACCTGCGCCACAAGCCGCATAGTGTGTTTGCTCGAAAGGCTAGATTCTTTTTGCTCTCATTGGCACTCTGCCACACCTGTCTCCCTGAGACACAGGAAGATGGAACAGTCGATTTTCAAGCTGCCTCACCGGATGAACTTGCTCTTGTTCGAACGGCTCAAGATCTCGGTTACATGGTCATTGACAGAGCTGCCCAGACGATTACATTAAAGACCCGCCCTAATGGATCTACTGGCCTTGAAACTGTCGAGGTTTATACCGTTCTTGATGTGATCGAGTTCACTAGTAAGAGGAAGCGTATGTCCATAATCGTCCGCTTTCCTGACGGCCGTCGATGCGTATTCTGCAAGGGAGCTGACTCGGCGGTTGTGAAGCGATTGAAGCTCAGCCACCTCGCCACACAGAAAAGGGTGGAGGTTGAGCGAAGATCCAGCATGCGCAAGAGCATGGATGCGGAGCAGGCTCTGAGGCGGAGAAGTGATGCATACAATGGCAGCCCAAGGAACAGCATGAGCATTGACTTGAAAAGGAGTTTAGACCTCGCGCGGACCAGTCTAGGTGCTGCTCCAAGGACGAGTGGAGTTGGGAACAGGTTCAAGCCATTCCGAGAAGAAATGAAATCGTGGCTTGAGGACTGCGAAACTAATACCGAACCTCACTCTGCCGCTAATTCTATTGAATATGCGAGTCCAAAAACATCGCTTCAGATGCCTAGGAAGTCGTTCGCGTCCGTGATCATCGATGAAGACGAATACTTTGATCACATGGTCGATGAATCGCTAGCTGTCAATGAGGCGGCGGTTTTTGAGCGCTGCTTTCAGCACATCGAAGACTTCGCAACCGAAGGTCTTCGCACGTTGCTCTACGGATACAAATTTATCGATGAACAGGAGTATAACGTATGGAAGAAAGTATACCACGATGCGGCTACGAGTCTCTGCGATCGGCAGGAACTGATCGAAGAAGCTGGAGACTTGATAGAGCAGGATTTCGACCTGGCTGGCGCTACTGCTATTGAAGACAAATTGCAGAAGGGAGTGCCCGAAACTATTGATAAGCTTCGACGAGCGAATATCAAGCTGTGGATGCTTACTGGTGATAAGCGCGAGACGGCCATCAACATTGGACACTCTTGCCGTCTTATCAAAGATTACTCAAAGGTGATAATTCTCGACACAATTTTGAGTACTGTTGAACAGCTCATGGCCACGTCACTTTTGGACATTAGCAAGGGTTCCGTTGCGCATTCCGTTGTTGTCGTTGATGGCCAAACGCTCAGTGATATCGAAGCCAACGAGACATTATCCCAGCTATTCTTCAGTCTTGCAGTCCACGCCGATTCCGTCATTTGCTGCCGCGCCTCACCGTCGCAAAAGGCGCTTCTCGTCAAGAAGATCCGCCTTCGTGTCAATGGATCTGTCACCCTTGCCATCGGTGATGGCGCCAACGATATCGCTATGATTCAAGAATCTCACGTCGGTATTGGTATCACAGGGAAGGAGGGCTTGCAAGCAGCGCGCATTTCCGATTACTCGATAGCTCAGTTTCGCTTCCTCCAGAAGTTGTTATTAGTCCACGGCCGTTGGAATTACGTCCGTACTGGAAAGTATGTGCTAGGGACTTTCTGGAAGGAGATGCTGTTTTACCTCACTCAAGCTCTGTACCAACGTTGGAATGGGTATTCCGGTTCTTCCTTCTACGAATCCTGGAGTCTGAGTATGTTCAACACGCTGTTCACGTCGCTCCCTGTCATCTTCTTGGGTATTCTCGAGCAGGATCTGTCTGCTGCGACTTTACTCGCTGTACCCGAATTGTATTCTCAGGGCCAGCGTGGCGAGGCGTTCAACATCAGGAAATATTTCGGATGGATGTTCATGGCTACTCTTGAAGCTTGCTTTGTGTACTTCATGGTGGTCAGCCTGTTTGCGTGGCCCGCCATTACCGGCGACCATGGGATTTTTGCGATGGGTGATCTCTCGTTCGGTATTTGCGTCGTTATTATCAACACGAAACTCCTGTAAGTTCATGTCAACACATGCCTAAGTTTCACACAAAACTAACGTGTCTTTACAGGTTCATTGAGAAACAGAATAAAACTCTCCTATCACTACTCGCCTTTACTATTTCCATCTCTCTCTGGACCCTTTGGAATATTGTTCTTAACTATATATACGCCACCAAAGAATCGCTGGCGTATAATGTACGCGACGGCTTCATCAAGAGCTTTGCACGGTTGCTCCCGTGGTGGATCACTGGTATCGTGACTTTTACTGCGTTCCTAATTTTCGAGTTTGGGGTCGCCAGCGTACGCAAGACGTTCTGGCCGGTTGATACGGACGTTTTCCAAGAACTGGAGAAGGATAAGGCGATGAAGAGGAAATTTGAGATGGCGTGTAGGGATGTACTGAGCGGGACGAAGGGTGCGACTGAGGCTGAAATATTAGAGGAGCAAGAGAAGGAAGACGAGGAGCGGGAGAAGAGGATGTTGGAGGAGGAGGTGAGGCAACTGTTACATAAGAGGGCGATAGATGCGGCTGCACAGGATACCACGGTTAGAAAGTAGTAAATTACATATATATTTGACACGCAACTGTTGTTCCCTTTCATGGTCCCAGTTATCCTCGCTGCTAGTAGTTGCTAAAACCATGGGATACGAGGAAGAGGCCTAACATTAACAAACTATCCTTCGATGTTCCACAGCCCATAGATGGTGCGATAAATTCACATCTTCGAGGAAACATCACAGAATACAAATATGGCCCACAAAACCTAAAAGTGGGAAAGATCATTGTAATTCTTTCAGACCCTAACATATCCCGCAGCTTTTCCGTGAACGCCATCACCATGTCCAAATCCATCTCCACCTATCCCAGCCTAACCCCTCGGAGCACCTCTCCCGCTTGCCCTCGCCCGACTGACTGTCGCCCTTCCTCTTGCCAATCCCACACCACGTCCCTTTACGCCCCTGGAGCGGAACATCGGAGCATTCCTGTTATCTCATCAGCATAGTCCTTGTACCCTGCACAGTCCAAACTCCTGGTTATCCTACCTCAACATATCAGGCACAATAAAGAACCTCACATGCGACCCTCGGATGTACACCTGGTCCAGATGCGACACGCGTCCATCGCGGGCCGTCACCGTAATGTCCTTGAGCTGCACATTCATGTTGTCCTCAGCCTCGAGCAGCTTCCCGCGGTAGACTTGTCCGGAGGTAATTTCTAGTGTGACAACGTGGCCCTGTGACAGACACATATTAGAATGATTAGTCTTATGGCTAGACCCCCCCGGTCCGTCTTGTCGTGCGCGCAATTGCTCGATATGTCCAAGGGCGAGGTGGGGTTGAAGAAAATGGACGGCGTACCTGAGCTTCGTTCAGCAGCTTAATAGGAATACCGATAGTGCTCGTCATCTTGGCGTCGTGTCGCGGCGCTTAATGACAATGATGAAGACCTGGGTTGTGCGTGAGGGTGAGGATATGGCTGTGCGGAATCGTGGGGTCGCGTTACAGACGAGGTCCGCGCGGTTGAGGTTGGCCCAGATAGAGCTTGAAGCATTGGCGCTAATGCGCCTTGCGAGATTTCTGTGCGCAAGGCTGAGACCCGCGCGATGTCATGTGACCTTAGCCGCGATTATCTCACCACGCTTTGGCTTCTGATATAAAGAAGCCTGCTCTAATATCAGTCTGCGCCTCGAATCTTTTGGAGTTCACTATGCGTTAAAAATATAATAGACTTTCCTTGTTTTTGTATTACTACACTTTGAAGTACCTTTTTCTCTCTCAACCGCATCGATGGTTGATCTTCGCACCTTCAACCTCTCGGGCACGTTCTCGTCACTGAGCCTCCTCTTCCGCCCTTCCCAGTGCATTCCTCAAGCGGTTGTCCGGAACTTTAATGATCTGCCGCTTCCCTTATCTGGTGCTTTCAACAACGATATGCGCTTTGGGAAGGTGAATATTCGGGCCGTGGTTCTGGACAAAGATGACTGCTTCGCCAGGCCCGGCGAGAACGAGATTGCGCCTGGGTTCAAGGTATGTGACTTTATCTTCTTGTTAATATCCATTGGGGTATAGCTCCGTTGTTTTTATTGTCGCTATTTTCACGTGATTATATATCCATCCCTTTTGCCCCTGACAACTCCCCGTGACATATGAACGTTAAACTAACCACAAATCAGGCACAATTCTCTCGCCTCCGCGCAGCCTACCCGCCCCCATCCATGTTAATCGTTTCCAACACAGCCGGCACCCCGTCCATGGACCCCGATCTCACCTCCTCCGCCCTCCTCGCCGCCGCGACGTCCGTTCCAGTCCTCGCACACCGCACCAAGAAGCCCGGCTGCAGCGCCGAGATAATGGCTTATTTCCACTCCCACGCCGAGTTATGTGACCTGAAACCTGAAGAGGTGGCCGTGGTTGGGGACCGCCTCGCGACCGATGTTGTGCTTGCCAATCGTATGGGGGCGTATGCTGTATGGGTTCGGGAAGGTGTGGTGCCAAAGGAGGAGAAGAGTCTTTTTGCAAGGTGGGAGTATGGCATTCATGACTGGTTAAAGAAAAGAGGGGTTCAGAGCCCCGTGCCTGGGAGCCCTTTTGAGTGAAGGCTTAATAGAAATCGATAACCGGAGACCGCCGTCTAGGCACGACGTTTCCAGAAACCCAAAACCCTGCGCCCAACTATATGATTCATTTGCCCTATGGCTATTAAATCCAAATGGCCAGTTATTAGTTCCCCGAAAATTGTCATATGTAGTCAACCTTTGGCTGTCATTTATTCCAGAAAGCACGGAGATAAGTTATTTTGCAGCAATGCCCACCGCCGTGGCAGCTGGAAATCGACTGGCCATTATTATGGCTGATAGTAGAGACAAGATAAATCTTATGGCCGAATTGTGGTATTACGTCAAAGCTATGAAACGTACCAATATTGTAAGAAATTTACTCTAAATTTCTTTACAGTTCTTCGTGTTATACTGGAATTAAATCCCAATTCGTGGCAACCACCGAGTATATACTGATCACAGTTGATGATACATCCCTTAAACCCTAGCAGGGAGAATGGAGGACTGTATTACCCGCGCTGTGACCAGGCTGTGGACGGGAGCGGGAATAGCACACTGATGGAGCCGTATACCAGGAACGCGGCGATTGGGTATGCGCGGCTTAACATTGAGGATGGGCAGAAGACGATGTGGGAGAAGCCTTGAACTGGTGAGTTTGTGAGGAGGAAGCCGTTCGTTGACACTGCGGCGTTTGAAGATGGAGGGGTGGATTTCCTGAGGGCGGGATGGAGTGAGAAAGTAAATGCGTTTATAATCACACGTGGCATGGAGAGTGTTATGGTTCCCAAGTCTAGCTAATAGTGAGAATGGCCAGCTAATTGCGATTTAACGACAGCGCGGAGTTGTCGTTTAGTAATTTGCCGCGAGCTGCAGAGGAGCACGGTGGTAAAGGAGGAGAATGAAGTGATATCCGAAAGCGTCGAGGTAGGAGGGACAAAGGAGATATCGTAGTCTTGAAATGCCGCACATAGTACTTATTCCACCCAGAATTCGAAAAGGGCTATGCATAGCAGGTAGAATTTAGCGCAATTATGATTAAAATGAAAGCACTTAAATAAATAAACTGAGGTTTATCATGCAAATGCGTACAGTTCAAATAAAATGTCCTGCATTTATAAAACCCATCAACCATCCTAATATACACCATGCACATACCCTCACAATCAAAGAAACACCACCCAACCCCCATCAACACCCCTCTTCCAGTGTTCCTCAAAATAGTATTAGTATTTGTGGTTTTCGAATAGTATTCGGCGATGAGCAGTATTCGGGCTAAAATTGGGGTATTCGGCGAGTATTTGCCAAAGACTCGAATACTATTCGAGTCCTTGGCAAGCACGGCCCAGGATGCCAAGCTACGAAGATTTTACCCCGCCCTCATAGATAGATCCGTAGAAATAGATCCATAGATAATATATGTTCCGGCCCAGTCGCGAATAATTCATATTCGCGAATGGGCCGGCCCAACCACGAATAATAGTAATAGTAAAGTAGTAATTAAGAATCTATATACTATTACCAACAGTGTCTGCTCTTGCTCGCTTCCTTCGTGGCCTCTCAACTCGTGGCCTCTCAACTAAAGCTATTTCCGTACGAGTAGCTAGACCTGATAAATTACCACAGTCGTGGTCATCATTATGACAGTGTACGCTACACCCCTTTACTTCCTTATAATACCGACACCTCTTTGAATTGCATTGACCCTTACATTGACATGATATTCCAACCCGTGCACTTGTAGAAGCCTCTCTAGCTGCAAGTGCAAGTGTTACTTGCTTTGTAGAAGTAGGAATAGTAATATCAGACCAAAGAGCTTGCTCTACAGCTTGAAGTGATTTTGTAGGTATAAGGCGTTGTATAATACCAGAGAGTGTTATAACCTGATACCGGTGTGGATAGGGCTCTTCTAAAATGCGTGCAAAGAGCCTCTTATTATCAGTTGAGGTTCTATCCTCTCGAGGAACCTTGATAGAGACTATAGCTCCAATATCGAAGTGTTGGATATTATGCCTCTTACTATACTTTTGTATCATAAGAACCCTTGCCTTTTGAGTTGCTACTGTAGCCCGCTCAATTATAGAATCAATGGGGGCTCTAAGCTCAGTTCTAGGCTGGGCTGCTACTCGACTCCGGCTCCCACGCCGGAGCTCAGAATGAAGCTGCTCTTGCGCTTGCTCGGAATTGATCGATTCTGCCAGCTCAGAATTGAGTGAGAGTGAGAGTGCTCGCTCGGGATTGGGTGAGAGCGCTAGCTTAGAATTGAGTGAGAATGCTCGCTCGGAATTGGGTAGGAGCGCCAGCTCAGAATTGAGCGAGAGAAGTAGCTCAGAATTGATCGAGGGTGCCAGCTCAGAATTGATCGATAGCGCTAGCTCAGAATTGATCGAGAGCTCTCGCTCTTGCTGGAGCTCACTCTCAAGAATCGGTGCCATCGTTGGGTCTTCCTGCTCAACTCCAATTGAGAGATCCTTCCGCGCCTGGCTATTAAGCCAGTTAATATGAGAGCTCCTATCTCGGAATAGTAGCTCAGCTGGTGCACATCCAATTGTCGAGTGGATTTGAGTATTCATTGCAAGCATAACCTCGAGTAGCCCATCCTTCCACTCCATAGATCCATGATCCATTTTCCATGCTCGTAGCTTTGCTTCAACAACCCCATTGGCTTGCTCAACTAGGCCTTGTGTCTGTGGTGACCGTGGCGCTCCATTTATCACTTGAATTCCATACTTGCGTAGTAGGATAAGTAGGGCTCCCTTGAATTCCTTTCCGTTATCAGCTTGCATAATCTTTGGAGGTAAGAAAGCTGCGATAAATTAAGCAAAGCAGTCTGCAATTGGCCCTGCGTGCTTGCTCTTTAATGGGTATAGCTGTGTATACTTTGAGAAATGATCCTTTATATGCAGAATCCATTTATATTGCCCTGAGGGCTCATGGCGCATATCAATTAGATCAATTTGAACCCGCTCCCACACTCGCCCACTTATAATAGGGACTAACGGAGCTTTTGTAGTAGATGGTCGATTTAGAGTACAGTTCTTACACCGCTTTATAATGAACTCTACTTCTTCTCTCTTTAGTCCATAGAACTTTTGTTGTATGATATTCCATGTTTTTGTACGGCCTGCGTGTAGGAGTTGTAGGTGTTCGTTGATAATAGTATCAAATGCATCGCTCTCAAGAATTACACATCGTGGGTTTTGAAACCTAGTAGTAGGCTTATAGTAGAGCTTATTATGTAGAAGCATAAACTCTGTTTGCGCACGATGCTTAAGTCGTGATTCAATAGGATTTGCAGGTTTCATCGATGGGTTCTGAAGATAGAGGAGTAATTGACGGTATTTTAAGTAGTCTATCCGCTCTCTATTACTATAGCTAAAGCTATGAATATAGGTTTGAAAAGCAGTGCGCACATCCTGAGGAAATTCAGCGTCTACCACCCCCTTTTCCATTCGAGTCTTCGCCGTCGATAGCTCTACCATTACTACAAATACGGCCACAACTCCCAAATACTCAGTCACCGTTGTTCTTAAAGAATATATTCAGTAGAACATTGTTAAGCACCAGCCCTGCAACGATGAAGATTGTCTGTATGCAAGATGGCTGTAATTATAAGCCAAAACTGAAGCTTTTATCATGGAATATCACGAGTAATTTGTGGAGGCATGTTGAAAGCATGCATCCTGCATTATACGAAGCTATAAAACCAGGAACTCCATTGCTACAGCATGCTCAGAGTTCGCAGAGTCAGAGTTCGCAGGATTCGCAGGGCGCTCCGAATATGAGAACAGCCCGAAATGCCCAACAATTCTTTACTTGAGTAGGAGGATCCGTTCTTGCCGCTCGATATAGAGAGTTATTACTTGCATTTATTGTATCTAATAACTTACCAATGAGTCTGGTTGATCGGCCTTCGTTTCGTCAGCTTATTCACCAGCTTAGCCCTTCAACGTTAGCTATATCAACGAGCTCCTTAATGCGCAATTTACACAAGACATTCTGCAACCACCGTATGAAGCTACAGATAGAACTCCAGGCTCATATAATAAAGGGCGGACGGTTATCACTTACGACTGATTCATGGTCTGCAATGAATGGTGCAGAGCACGCTGCGATAACTGTTCATTGGATAAATAACGAATGGGTTCACCGGCACTGTGTTCTTGATATCATACATCTAAAGGAGCCCATTCATTCCGGTGAATATCTTGCAGAGCAGCTTCAAGCTGTTACAGACGACTTTGGTATTACGAACAGAGTCTTTACAATTACTAGAGACAACGCATCGAACAATACAGCAATGCTCGCAGAGTTTGAAATAGGGGCATGCACGAGCGTCGTTTCTATACAGCAACCATGGAGCTTTACAGTAAAGGAAGGCGACATCCGATGCATGGCACACATTATAAACCTTGCGGTTCAAGCAGCTTTAACTATGTTAAAAGCTGTACCATCAGAACAAACGGAATTGTATAGGCTTAAGCAAGGCTTAGCTCATACTCAAGGCTTCGTTCTTAATAAAGAAGAATGGCAACGGTTCTTATAAAACTACGCCGGCATATCTATGTCTTCCGGAACCGTCGAGCATGGAAAGATGCATTGAAAGTACAAGCATCTGCTATGGGTATTCAGGTGGTTTCAATGTCCCTCGATATGCCTGTACGATGGAACTCAACATATTATATGCTTGAGAACGCTTTGAAACTTGAGCAGCCGATCAATGCTTTATGTGCTTCACAAACGATGGATTTAAGTATGCATGATATTATCATTACATCAATAGAATGGCAAGTGTTACATGGACTAAAGGCATTCTTTAAGATATTCGTCAAACCAGCAGAGCAAGTTCAAGCAGATAATTATCCAACGTTGAACGTCTGTATTCCACACTATCTACGGCTTTTAAATAAGCTTAAGGCAATGGAAAACGCTCCATCGACAACAGCAGCAATCAGCAGCTTGTAAAGCATCGTATAATAAGCTTGATACTTATTATAACCTTGTGACAAATCAAGGCTCAAGCCACTTGTCAATTGCTACTATCTGCGACCCAAGATTCAACTTAAGTATATACGAATTTTATATGCCAAATAGTGTAGACGCTGTAAAACGAGATAGGGCAAGAGCACAGTTCGCAGCTTGCTATAACCGGTATAAAGACCGTGAGAACGATATACAGGTTGCTGCTATTGAAGCTACTATTGCTGCTGAAACTGAGCAGCCGACGACTCTAAGAGAACTTGATTCCGACGACGAGATGTATCAGCATCGTGTCTATTGAGGAAGTTGAGTGGCGACGATGGTTCAAAGAGAATGGTGTCGACTGTAATACTAATATCCTCAAATATTGGCAGGCAAAGCAGTATCAGTATCCAGTTATATCACGGATCGCACGTGACTATTTGGCAATTCCAGCCTCATCGGCAGCGTCAGAGCGTATATTTAGTGTCGGCGGTGATATAGTCACAAAGAAAAGGAACAGGTTATTACCTTCAACTCTTCGATATCTACTCTGCCTACGGGATTGGGGGGTTATAGGCGACGAGGAGGAGGATAAGAGCGAGTAGACAGTTATCATATTTCATTACTATATACTACAGTTGAGCCTCAAAATACTCAAATACTATTCGGCGAGGATTTGTATGAGTATTCGCCGAATACTCCCAGATGGCGAGTATTCGGGAAAACCCCGAATACTATTCGAATACTATTTGGGGAACACTGCCCCCTTCTACACTGCGCGCGTGGGAGTGTGGGGGTTAAGGGGGCTGGGTTTGGTTAGTTTGGGGGTGTGGTGGTGGAGGGGGAAGGGGAAGGGGAGAGAGACGTACTGGTAAGTGTAGGCATGGCGATAGTGGCAGGCGCGAGGTATGGGCAAAACCTGATGATAGTCGCTGGAAAATTGAGGCTGTGGTGTGTGGTGTGGTGCTGGGGATAGTTTGATCTGTGATGTGGTTCCGATTTCTGATTTTGAGACTCGAAAGACGGGATTTCCGACTGGCTTTGTAGTCTTCTCGTCATGTTGGATTTGATTTCTCTATGAAACCGTCATGGACACCGCCCAAATCATCCAACAGCGGCAACATTGATTATACTTCGTATATCCAACGGCGCCACCATCCTTCACCTTGAATTTCGCTATGAAACCACCATACCCACTGACCTTCAAGCTTATCCTACGGCGGCAACGGTCCCCATCCCACCTCATAACCGGACTAAGTACTGTAATATCCAACAAGGGCGGTAGCCCTTGTTGAACAGAGGGGTTATCATGGGGGGTTATGATAATTCGCGATACGCTGACCAATTTTGGCCTCGGAACCGTTTGACATCTTCCATCTTCACTTTTCCACTCTTCTATTTCATCTAATTACCAAAACCCCAAAAATCTACCACCCTCTCCAGAAACACCCCCCCTAATTCCTCCCCGCCCACTCCCGATACCACTCCAAAACCTCCCTATTAACCACACTCTCCCCCACCCCCCCTCCAGCCCCACTAACAACCTTCTTCACCGCCACCTCCACCTTCTTCCCATTCCCCGTCACCGGCACCCCCCCCCCTTCACACACCACCCCCGGCACATGCCTCGCGCTCAGCCTCGTCCCAATCTCCCTCTTAATCCTCCCTCCCAGCTCTTCACTCCAACTTTCCCCGGGAGCCATCATACAGAACAGCAGTACCGTCTCGTCTGCGTCACCTGCGCGACGACGGCCAACGCATACGGCGTCTGCGACCTCGGGGAAGTGGGCGAGGAGGATGTTGTAGATCTCTGCTGACCCAAATCTTACTCCGGCGGGTTTTAACGTCCCGTCGCTGCGTCCAAGCATTAGTAAGCCTGACGCGGCGTTATTCGTCCCTGCGCGCCCAGCTGAGGTATGGGGGACGAAGGAGATGAAATCACCATGATGCCACATCTTCGGAAACACCGCAAAATACGCATCAAAATACTTCGCATCCCCCTTTGCGCCGAAGAAAGTGGTAGGTTGAGCAGGGAAAGGGACAGTGGCGACTAAATCCCCCGCCTCCTCGGGCGCGACGGGGACGCCAGCGGGCGAGACGGCGAGCAGCGACAGGCCGAGGGCGGGGCCTTGGATTTCGCCCACGTAGACTGGGAGGAGAGGGTTGGGTGCGCCAAAGAGGGAGATTATGTCTGTGCCGCCTGTGATGGATGCTAGTTGGATAGTCTTGGGGAAGTTGGCGTAGATATATTTATACGTTGACGGCGCGAGCGGGGAGCCAGTGGAGTAGATAGCTTGCAGCGTCTTGAGGGAAGCTGCTGGCAACCCGTCCGGTTGTGTGAGCAGGGGCTGCGTGTGCTTTTGCTCTAGGAGACTCAGGTATTTCGCCGACGTCCCGAAATGCGTAATCCCCAGCGAATCGATGAGGTAGGGCATTGACATCTCCCCCGCGGGATGGAAGGGCGAGCCGTCGTAGACGACGATTGTGGTGCCGACGGAGAGGGCGGAGACGAGCCAGTGCCACATCATCCAGGTGGTGGTTGTGTAGTAGAGGAGGCGCGAGGAGGGGCGCAGGTCGCCGTGGATGATGTGTTCTTTCTTGTGCTGGATGAGGGTGCCGAGGGCGGAGTGCACGATGCATTTTGGGGGGCCGGTGGTGCCGGAGGAGTAGAGGATGTAGAGGGGGTGGGAGGACGGGAGGGGGGTGAATGTTTGGGGGGCGGAGGGGTTGGGGACGCTGGGTAGGTGTGTTAGTTTTGAAAAAGGATGGAGCTTGGGGAGTAGTAAGGAAGGGGTAAACATAAAAACGTAACACACCTGTCCACAAAATCCTTATACTCCCACGCCTTCGCCCCCTCATCCACCACCTCCGCCAACTTCTCAACCCCACACTCCAACCCCACCACCGTCTCAAAAACAACCACGGCGATCAACCCCCTACCCCTCAACCCCTCCACAATCCCCCTCGCCTTCACCCCACTCGGATGCGTCCGCCCATTATACCCCACCCCATTATCCACAAACAGCACCTTGGGCTCAATCTGCACCAGTCTCTCCAGCACCGCATGGACCCCCGTATCAGGACTCACGCCCGTCCAGACGACACCAATACTCGCTGCCGCCAACGCCGCGACGACGGCGTTAGCTGTGTTTCCGAGGAAGCCGGCGACGCGGTCACCGGGGCCGAGGGAGAGGGATTGGAGAGCGAGAGTGCAGCGGCGGACGCGATCGCGCAGTTCTGTCCAACTGATTGCATGGGAAGAAGTCTCGTTGGCCTCAATGATGGCTGGACTGGAGGGGTCGGGGGAAGAAGAAGGGTAAAGGAGGTTCTCGGCGAATTTGATGGTGGAGGTGGGGAAGAAGGAGGGGCGGGGGTACATGGGGGCGTTGGGGGGGAGGACCTGGGTGGGTGTTAGTTGGTGGGGGTTGGTTGGAGAGGGGTGAGAGGTGGGGGGTGTGATGGTTGAAAAGGGGGTAGTTAGGTGAGTTGCGAGAAATGGGAGTGACAATTGGATAGAAGAGATAAGTCTTCAAGCATATTGATGCCCATCCAACCCATCATTTCCCTTGATAACTTGAAAAAGAGACCATAAAGACGAAACCACGTGATATAAAACATTATCACTTACCGGTTCATCGACCCTATTCCCCTTGATACCAGTGAAATCCCACACCTCACCCCAGAAGTCGCCAATATTCTCAACAGACCACTTATGCAGATCCTCATAATGGTCGAGCTTGAGCCCATACTTGGCATTAACGCCCTCCTTAAACGCATGCATCTGCGTCGACGTGGGGTCGGGATGTCTCCATAACTCGGCGTTGGAGTCGTCGGTGGCGGGGTGGCCGTTGAGGCCGTTGGAGATATCGGGGGCCATTGGTGGGGCTGGTTGTAGGGGACTCGGGGTAGTTTTATTATAGGACTGATACAGTAGTATGCGAGGAGAGGAAGAGAGTGCGGGGGATATAGAGGAGAGAGTGCGCTCTATACAGTATAACGGAATGCAAAGAACGGAGCAGTGCCGATAGGTACCGAGGTCGACGATGGGAGACGGAGCGAATACCGGAGTAAGAAGGACGCAAAGGGGGCGAGCAGCATAGAAATTGACGAGCGAAAGGAGAAAGGAGAAAGGAGAAAGAGAAGGTGAAGGGTTACTGTGACTTATCCATCACCACGGGGTACAAGCGGGGTGATTGGGCAGAGCGGGTTTACTCGGCTACACACGGGACTCAGACCTCCCCAACAGTCGACGCGGCAGCTACGAGCGGCGACGGCGTGAGAAACGTGACCTGGACTAAAAAAAAGCGATAAGAAGATAAACAGAAACCCTAGAAAAAGTCACGTGGACAACCATCGGCCTCGGATTGCACGCGCTAAGCCCCGATATGGGAAGGAGGTGTGGGTGGTGCGCTAGGAGTGCGCTAGGAGTGCGGTTGGGCCAATAAGGAGGGGGACGGGTGCATGGGGCGTTGGTGAAGGATTTTCCGGATTTTCCGACTTTTAGGCTTTTCCGTCCTGTAATCTCCGGGCTGCGTTTTGTTGGATTTTGAAGGGGTCACGTGACCTGACTGTACTTTGGAAGCGCCGAGTGAGCAGAGAGTGGTGTATTTTATACTGTAGTTGTTGATCCATAGCGGGATCGTTTTGTCCGAGTTCGAGACAAGAGGGATTCGAACTTTTAACTGCCCGAGTATATGACATCATGACATATGTTGATAAGTACGAACCATACAAATCCTACAGAATTGCCTAATCGGGCAGTCTAAGCGAGAATCTGCGCTCCAACCCTCCATCATCTCACATCTCATCTCCATCACTCCCGCCAATCCGTCCCCAACCCCAAGTACCTTTTATCCTGTCAACACACCAAAACTCTACTTGTCCATCCCAACCACCGCACCCCTTCCCACCCACAACCCTTCCCACACCCCTACCCTTTCATAACCTGCCTGCCTGTTCGTCACTTCCCTTCAATAGATATTACAGTCTATCCTGTCTATAATCTGGCTGCCTTACTTCTTCTCTTCTACTCCACAATTATCGACCTGCACCCCCCCCCCCCCTTCGCACCTCGCTATCCCTTTCATCTCGATCCCCGTCCTATCTCTACCGCTCTTCTCCCACCTCCCACAACTTCTACTCCTCTTACCTTTCCCCCCCCCTCTCTTCATCCTCGACTTCACCTGTCAAACCCTCGTCGTCGACCTCCCGTCTACCCGCTAATCCTCCCTTTCTCTCGTGGTTTATGCCGCTGTGAAGGGTTGTCACGTCGTAGCTCGCGGCCGACAGGGAAAGGAAAAAGGAAGGAGACTGAACGAGTGTCAATGACCTGTCTCAATCCGCGGCCATTTTAGCTCTTTTAACTCTTGTCCGCCCCTCTGCTCCTTCCTCGAAACCCTGGACGACGCAGAAGCCCACCGGCGTATCTACGACTTCGATCCCTCACTCCTTTTACCCCATCGCAGATTCGATTCGGTATGTCAAATTCCCTCTCTCTCCCTCGCTATCCGCTATCCTATCGCCAAACTCCTATTACCCTACCTCATCCTGCGAATACCTCACCACTGCACCTGTGGCTGATGACAGTACCCTGTCTCTGCCTACTACCAAGCATCCATTCCTTCCTAAAGCACCTCTCTATCCTGCAGGTGACTTTCGCGCACGAGCCTTCTCTCCAGGCCCCTTGGCTGACATTACCCGCTCATCCCACAGATTGATCCTCTACGCGTCTCTCTTGCCCAACACGACCTGCGCCACTCCGTTGACGTCGTTTCCCAAAATCGAATTACGATTGAGGTTCTAATACACCCTCACAACTACACGCTGCCCCGTCAGACCCTGTTCAATTAAGGCTGCCCTCAACACCGCAGAATCACCTCACCCATGACCACAATGCCTCGTCAGGGTATTAAAAATCCATTTGTGAGCACTGTCACTTCGACGGTTACGGTCCCAGCAGCAGCTGAGAAGCCGGCCGCACGAAGAAACTCCTTCGCGAAGGCGTCGAGATTAACACATTTCTTCTCGGGCACCCCCAAGAGCAAGGAGCAACAATCCGCTCAGTCTGCCCTGTTGGCCGCAGCAGCTGCGCAACAGCAGTACCTCCTGAACAACCCGTCCCCTTCGATCAACGCCTCGAACGTCTCTCTACCGACAATCTCTCTGTCCGCAGTAGAGGACGAAGAAGCCACAATGGAGGAACCAGCAACCACATTATTCCAGCCGCCGTCGGCCGCGGAAGCCAAGCGACAGGCTCGTGTCGAGGCCCAGTTCGGCCCGTTGGTCCACCAATCGCATAGATATGTCAGCCAACATATGGGCGAAGAGCTGGAAGAGCCCGTGATGGACGAGCCGCCGTACTACTACCTCCTTACCACATATCTCAGTTACTTAATTCTCATCGTCTTCGGACACGTCCGGGATTTCTTCGGAAAGCGCTTCCGCCCGCTCCATTACAAGCATCTCAAGTCTGCCAACGGCTACGCCGCCCTCAACAGCGATTTCGACAATTTCTATGTGCGCCGTCTGAAGATGCGTATCAACGACTGTTTCTCCCGCCCGACCACGGGAGTCCCGGGCCGCTACATCACTCTTATCGACCGCAAGTCGGACGACTTCAACCAGACGTTCCAATTCACCGGAACATTCACCGAGACGTTGAACATGAGCTCCTACAATTATCTTGGTTTTGCCCAATCTGATGGCCCCTGTGCAGATGCCGTCGAGGAGACCGTCAAGAAGTACGGAATCAGCGTCGCCAGTCCAAGAGCAGATGCTGGAACGTCTGACTTGGTCCTTGAAGTCGAACGCGAGATTGCGAAGTTTGTTGGCAAGCCAGACGCCATGGTATTCTCTATGGGATTCAGCACGAATGCCACGACTTTCCCAGCTTTGGTTGGCAAGGGCTGCCTGATCATCTCTGACGAGCTCAACCACGCATCTATCCGTATCGGTGCCCGCCTTTCGGGTGCTATGATCAGCAGCTTCAAGCACAATGATATGAAGGATCTGGAACGCCTGCTCCGCGAAGTCATCTCCCAAGGACAGCCAAGGACTCACCGCCCGTGGAAGAAGATTCTCGTCGTTGTCGAGGGTCTTTATTCGATGGAGGGAACCATGTGCAACCTCCCTGGTCTCCTGAAGCTGAAGAAGCGGTACAAGTACAACCTGTTCGTCGATGAGGCTCACTCTATCGGTGCTCTCGGACCAAAGGGACGCGGTGTCTGCGACTTCTTTGGCATCGATCCAGCTGAGATCGATATTCTCATGGGTACACTGACCAAGTCCTTTGGCGCCAACGGTGGATACATTGCTGGAGAGAAGAACATCATTGCCAAGCTCCGCGCGACCAACTCGGCCACAATCTACGGCGAATCCCCATCTCCACCTGTCTTGACGCAGATTCTCAGCGCACTCCGTATCATCACTGGCGAGCTCGTACCTGGCCAGGGTGAGGAGCGTCTCCAGCGTATTGCGTTCAACTCTCGCTACCTCCGCTTGGGATTGAAGCGCCTCGGCTTCATCGTCTACGGCCACGATGACTCCCCCATCATCCCCGTGCTCCTCTACAACCCCGCCAAGATGCCCGCCTTCTCGCACGAAATGCTTCGTCGCAAGATCTCCGTCGTCATCGTCGCCTACCCCGCCACCCCGCTCATCTCCTCGCGCGCCCGCTTCTGCGTCTCCGCCGCCCACAACAAGGACGACATGGACCGCATCCTCGCCTCCTGCGATGAAGTCGGAAACGTCCTCCAGCTCAAGTTCTCGAGCGGTGTCGCTGGTGGCGCTGAGAACCTCGCTGACGGCGTGACTCCCGAGATGGAGCGCGAGTGGCTCAAGGCCAACGGCGCAAAGGCTGTCGTCAAGCCGCCGCGCTGGGGCCTGCGCGAGGTCGTCGCGAACGGCGTCAATGATGTCAAACACCCTCTGAGATAAACGTCGAGCTTGCGCAAAGCTAGCTTTGTTTTGTTTCTCTGCATAGGCTTGCGCTTCTATTAATTTTTTGTACAAATACCACAATCGTTCGGAATCTATCTTCGCTTCTTGCGCGAGCGCTGCCTGGTTCCAGCATCCCGCCCTCCTGTCGCTGCCCTTTTGCTCTCTTCTGAGCGGGGGCGTGCAGACGTGGGGCTGGGTACGCTACATGGAACCCCGGGGCACCCTCGTGTGCCCCTTCTGGACAGGGACACCCTTTTTACCTCTTCGAAATGATACTATTAGACTTTGGGCCCTACATTCGCTGCGGATTTGTCTTGTTCTGCGTGGCTCCCTTTTTTTTTTCTTTTAGTTTTAGGTGTGTGGGGGAAGATGGTGTTTTGGGCGGATGAGGGAAAGGGGGGCAAGAGAAAGGGATGGGGTGTTGGGTGTGTGGAGTGGTTGTTTATGATGTGCTGTGTTGTGTTGAGTAGTGTGACAGATAGGTGGCTGGCTGGGTGGGACTTGGGAGGGATATTTTTGGGAGGAATATAATTAGATGACGGGGTGTTTAATGTGGATGGGGGATGATGATTAGAGGGATGGGGATGAAGGGAGAGGAGGAGGAGAGCTTGTTACTTTAATGGCATGAGCTTTTCTTGATTAATGACTGTCTTTGTGGGAGTGTTCTGGTGGTGTTGTGAGTGTTGCCCGGTCAAATCGGCCCTTAGGTTTTTATGTGTTTGTGTATGTGTATGTGCAGCTGGCCTGATCGTGTGAATATTCCAGTCCCCTCGTCCCCGCCTGTTCCGAGCCAACACTTGGAGGTGAAATTTCTTCACTTTTCACACGTGGAAAGCCAAAGAAGAGGAGCCTTGTTTTTTTTTGCGGCAGCGGCGACGGATGCTCCCCAAGAGGGCGTATGAAGCCGAAGTAACGTTCACATTACGATGCTGAAGAGTCATTTTCAGCCTTGCTACATGGAAACCACCCTGGTAATAAAGATGGATAAGTTAGTGTATCACGTGGGAATCATCGGCCAGAGAGGCGCCAGGACGGAGGTTTTTTCTTCCGTACCCGCGCATAGAACATGAACTTGGAGAAGGTCAGCGGTAAATCTTCGCGAACATTTCCGTCAGTGTCAAACGTATAATTTACGCTATGTCGGAAGGAAAGGTTGCTGATGACAGCCGCAATCAATCTCCAGTTTTAGCTAAATCTCCGACTCTGTCAGCTTCTACGAGCATGGATATACTTGACCGCTACAGGCTTAAGTATGACAACTATGTGGCGTACAGTGGATCTGGTATCGAACGTCGGACAGTTTCTTTGGAAGGGGTTCGGAAAGACTCCTTTGAATCTGATGGTTTATTCGATTTTACCTTCCCACTGTTTCAAAGAAAGCCCCAAGCTCCTCTCACTCGTCTTCCGAGCGATCCAGGCTCGGGCCCTCCGAGCGCTTCAAATTATTCAACGGCTCCCAATGTACAAGGCAATTGGTGGGTACCACCGTCGCTCAATAGCTTGCTTATGTTTATCGCTACAAATCTATATCGACGTTTTCAAAAGGGTAAGGGTTATATTATAACACCTAAGAATAGCTGAAAGCTGATAAATAGTAGTTGCGATAAACATCCTGATTTTTCAATGGCGATCTACAAAGATAGATCCAAGGACTGGAGAATTGAAAGCAGAGGCTCCTAAGAAAAGACTGCTTGATACTCCAGAAGCATTAAATACCGCGTATCTAGAGTATTCTGCCCAGCCAATCTCTTCAGAGAGCAATGTTTTATACTACACGTTTAATTGGAGATCCCCAAGCACTTTGAACGCCAAACGTCCATTCATTGATACCGAAGACATGCAGGCTACTGGAATGGATACGCTTAGGTTAGTTAGGACTTAATATTTGGATATGTTTTGACCTACATCTATCCTCTCCTCCTGATGCCTGGGGTGGGCAACGAAGGGACCGGCTTCGAGGCTTCTACAGAGTCTAGATTGAGAAGGTCGTTGATAACTCGCAGGAGATAACTCATTGCTACTTCGATTACGCTGAGAACATGACAAAGACTAACTTCAATGCACAGTAACTAGTCGCGAGGTCTACCTCGAGAGATGAATTCAAACCGAAGAACAAAGCAATGATTTCTATTCCTGATGCAGCAATCTACTTTTCCGCAACCTGGACGCTTATAGCATCCGCGGCCCTGGTGCTGTCATCCGCACCAGTTCAGACTCTGGCTCTGGCTCTAGCGCAGCACTCTTACGGTTCCGACCATGTTTTCCCTTGCCCTTTATGACCTCTTTCGCTGAACGCGCCACTTCTGGCCCCGGATCTAGTTCTAGCTCTGGGATAATGGAGGGTAGAAACGAGGGACATTACCATGATCTGCAAGGGCACGGTATGAATTGGGCACGCCGGGAGGAACGCCTTGTGCAAGTACTTGACTGGTTCTGTCCATATTAGCCTACCGTGGTGATTTACCGTGATGATTTACCGTGGTGATGGTGTTGTGATGGTGTTGTGATGGTGTTGTGATGGTGTTGTGATGGTGTTGTGATGGTGTTGTGATGGTGTTGTGATGGTGTTGTGATGGTGTTGTGATGGTGTTGTGATGGTGTTGTGATGGTGTTGTGAGGGGACAAGCGGCAGTGCACAGGCACCACGATGCTGCCGCGCGCCTGCCTTGGGATTCTACGCCACGCACGTGACAATTCTTGCGAGAGCATGTGACGTTGCAACCCCCGCCCTTTTGGGACGGCGTACTCATTATGTTCTCCTCTCGAGTGTCTTCAAAACTTGGAGACATATTCTTTCTTCATGGAACCTTTCCCCAAGTGCTCCGAAATTTGAAGAGACTCTAATGGCCTCGATTAAGCAGGGGGAAATAGTCGAAGCGGCGATCAGTGGCGTGATTGAAACATCGACACCATGATCAGCCGCTATCTTTTTCATAGACTTGCGATTTTTAGTTTTCGAGACTCCTAAAGCATAAATTTGTCGCGTGACAGGGTGCGTCCCTGGACCCAGCGATAGACGTTAACTAAGGGATCGATAGTTAGACGTTAGGGGAGCCCTCTTTTTTTTTTGGGCGTCGGATGCTCCGGAAGAGGGTACTCGGTGTTCCACCCACTCGCTTCGCTCGTAGGTGGCGACAGCAAGTTGTGCGTGCGACAGCAAGATGTGCGTACACCGCTATTTTGATATATAGAAAAAATAATAGTATTCTTCATAACGTAGTATCTACAATGCCTCAAAATAACGATCCTACTATGATTGCTCGCCTTAATGAGGCCCAACAGTTCTTCTTAAAACAACCAAGTACATATACAATTGCTTGGGTTGCAAATAAATTCAATGTCAACCGTGAGACACTCCGATGTCGTATTACGAGTACTACGTCTCCTCAATTACCCTACGGAGGTAGCAATCGAGTCTTATCTCAATCGCAAGAGACCGCGGTCTGTCAATTCATATACGACCAACTTGAGCGCGGGGTCCCTGCCAACCGATCTATGATACTACGGGCAGTTGCAGACTTACGACCTAATCGTACGATACCATCACAACGGTGGCTACAACGCTTTCTAAAAGCACACCCCGAATTTCATACAATTCACACGAAGACGTTAAATACACATCGGAAGCAAGCACAAAAGAAAGAGGTGTTTGAGGCAGTAAATGCAAGTGGTGCTGCACTTGCAGAAGCTATCATTATCCCTGGCAAACTTCATATGGATTCATGGTACAATGATGACCTTGAGCCAAATGCTCTCATTATTGTAAATGAGAGCGGGTATTCAAACGACGACATTGCAATCCAATACCTTATGCATTTTATCCAACTATCTGCAGAGCATATGGCACCAGATGATACTCGCCTCTTATTACTTGACGGCCATGACTCTCATAAAACAGAGCGCTTTCTTACATTAGCAGAAGAGCATAACATTGTTATTTGCTGCCTTCCTGCTCATACAACACATCTATTACAACCTCTTGATGTAGCGGTTTTTAAGCAGTGCAAACACTTTCATCAAAAGGCACTTGATCAAGCAGTACGTAGCTACGACTATGAGTATAAGCTACGTACGTTCCTTTCAGACCTCCCGCAAATCCGACGGCAATCTCTAACTGTCCGTACAATTCAATCTGGTTGGAGAAATACAGGACTATATCCATATAATCCTCCACTTGTAATTGACAAGATACAAGAGACTCGGAATCAAACACCTGATTATGAGCCATTTGCTTCATATAATATTATCTCAACACCGAAAACAACTATGCAAAGTGTGCAAGCGGTTGAACATTGGCAGAAGAGAGCAGAGGAAGCTTTCTCATCGCCTTCAAGAGAAGGGTTTCAATCATTTGCACGTGGAACTACAGTTGTTCTACACCGGGCAGAGCTCTATAAGACCGAGCTAGATATTATGACTCTACGTGCAGTAGAGCAGAAGGCAGCAAAGGCAAGGGCACGGAAATCACTACAGAAAGGAGGGCAGTTATATGCATCAGATGCACGGAAAATGCGGGAAGAGAAGAAAGCAAAGTTGCAAGCAAAAGCAGACGCAAGAGCAGCAAGGGAATCGGACCAAGTAGTAAAGCAGCTACAAGCGCAAGCACGTAAAATCGAAATTGAAGAGCGTAAGGTTGAGAGGAAGCGGGTAGCAGAGCGGAAGAAGGAAGGGTTGAAATCAAAAGTGATCATTTTACGGTATAGTAAGGATCAAAGTGATAGTAGCAATAGTGGCAGTAGCGATAGTGATAGTAGTTCTATTGATTTTATGTTTTAATTATATAGTTATATAGTTGATATATAAGGCGTCTTTTTCTTCGTTTTATGTGTCGCACATCTTGCTGTCGCACGCACAACTTGCTGTCGCCACCTACGAGCGAAGCGAGTGGGTGGAACACCGAGTATACCAAGCGCGACTTCACAATGCTTCACTCGATTTCCTGGTGGTACGCGTATATAAACCACAGGCGGCATGAGCACACGAACAAATGTGAATCGGGATACGCCTATAGATCTATAGTGTATGTTGTATCCGCATGGCTCTTACTGAGCTACCCAGCCTTCCAAGACGGTAGTGCTTTAGTCAACTTTATGCACTTCTCACTCACCCTTCACTTGTCCCCTTCATACTCCCCAGAATATCCTCCCACCTCAGCTTTCCCCCTCCACCAAAACAAACAGACAACCAAACACGTGCCTCACCCCCTTCTCCGGGTGTGTGTGGCTTAGTCTTCTGGTCGCACGTACGTCACCAGACGCTCCCGGCGGTTGGTCGCGAGACTGGCGGGAGGGTACAGAGGGTTTGTGTGTGAGCACCGCGACGCATGCACGGATAGGGTAGGGATAGCTACGGACGGGGCGCACGACACGACTCGGATTTGGGGGGGAAAAGCAACTGCGAATCCGAAGCTGGGGACGAGCTGAGGCTACGATACACGCCGCCTGCCTGACAGAGTGCCGAATCGCGCATTCGAGATAACCCGCCAGGGAAACGAATCCGAATTTCCGAAAGCTGAGCTTTCGTGAGGGCGAAGGGGGGGCAGACATACATACGTGGGCGACGGGGACTGGGGCCGCGGGCTGGATTGGACTGGACTGCGGCTGCCTGCTGATCTCTGTGTATACGCGGAAGGGACGAGATACGAAGGGAGGGTGTGTGCGCTTCGGCCACGGTGACATGGCTGATGCGGTGCCTGTGATTCGGGTTCTGGATGGGCGGGAGGAGGGGAGCGTGAAGGGGGAGGGCGGGAGGGGCGGGGCAAGCAGTGGGAGTGAAGGTGTGTATACCTGCGGGAGTTGGAGTGGGGAGGGAAGGGATATGCACCGATATATTTTTTTATTTTAGAAGCTGACGTGTATAGGCAACGTGGTATCCCGAAAATCGCCAAGCATCGGCAGCAAGGCCATGAGAAGCCCAACGGTGCGAGCTGGGAATACGAAGAGCGCGGCTGCGGGGAAGACGTCGTCTGCGGCTATTGATCCGCTGTCACACGTACGTACCCCTTCTTCCCTTCCTTCCTGCACTCATTGAAACCCCCTTCTCCCCCAAGGCAACAGCGCTGACCAGATCGCCGCGGTATACAGCATATCCTCAAGCGCACGAACACCGAGAACACGATCCCGCAGCGTATGCGCACCGCGAACGTGGCGGATAGCCCGAAGAGCGAGATTGTGAAGCCGGGGAGCGAGACGGGTGGTGGGGGCGGCGCGGCGAGGAGCGCTGCGGCGGAGGGGACGAGGGAGGAGGGCGCGCCGCAGAGGGAGAAGAAGTATGTGGATTCTTATTTGGCATCCCCCCACTCCCACCTTCCCAATTCAACCCCCAATTGGCAGCCTGGCACCTGTCACCTCCTCCATTGACGTCCCACCCACTGCGCCGCGCGGCGATGGTGGTGCACGCACCTTGTCCCCGTCGACGTTGCGAATCCCCGTCCCCGTGCCCGAGCCCTAGCTAACTGTCTAAAACATAGAAAAGTCTCGTTCCTCAGCCGCTTCAGCATCGGCAAGAAGAAAGGCATGGACGCGGACGCGGACGCGGACGACGACGACGACGACGAGAGCGAGCAGGGGGACCTCCGCACCGAGGGTATGAACGCCCAGGCGTATGCGGGTGCTGCGCGGACGGCGAGCGGGTTCATGCCCCAGCATAAGGAGCCGCCGAGGTACATTAAGGTGAGGGCGAGGTATAAGAGGGAGAGGGAGTTCAATCGCATGTTTTTGGCACAGGAGCTGTGTGGGACCAAGACGCCGGTGGCGGCGGGGGAGGAGAAGGAGAAAGCGGTTCCTGATGTGCCGCCTGGGTCGCGCCCGACGTCACGCGAGCAGCATGGCGGCGCGGTGTGGACTACGGAGTTTAGTCTTGATGGCAAGTACCTCGCTGCCGCGGGCCAGGACACCGTCGTGCGTGTGTGGTCTGTGATCGCGACAGCTGAGGAGCGCGCCGCGCACGAAGCGGAAGAGGAGCAAAGCGAAGGCACCGGCGCCCCCCTCAGCGCGCCCGTCTTCCGCAGCAAGCCCGTCCGCGAATTCGAAGGCCACAACGCCACCGTCCTCGACCTAAGCTGGAGCAAGAATAACTTCCTCCTCTCCTCGTCCATGGACAAGACCGTGCGCCTCTGGCACGTCAGCCGCGCCGAATGCCTCTGCACCTTCAGGCACCGCGACTTCGTGACCAGCATCGCCTTCCACCCCCGCGACGACCGCTTCTTCCTCGCCGGCTCCCTCGACTCCGTCCTCCGCCTGTGGAGCATCCCCGACAAAGCCGTCGCGTTCTGGAACCAGCTCCCCGACCTCATCACCGCCGTCGCTTTCACCCCCGACGGCCGCACCGCCATGGCCGGCGTCCTCTCCGGGCTTTGCCTCTTCTACGAGACCGAGGGGCTGAAATACCACACCCAGATCCACGTGCGCTCCTCCCGCGGCCGCAACGCCAAGGGCTCAAAGATCACGGGGATCCGCACAGCAACCACCCCAGACGGCGACGTCCAAATCCTCGTCTCCTCCAACGACAGCCGCGTGCGCCTCTACGCGCTGCGCGACAAATCCGTCGCCGCCAAGTTCCGCGGGCACGTCAACGCCGTCTCCCAGATCCGCGCCTCCTTCTCCGACGATGGCCGCTACGTCATCTGCGCCTCCGAAGACCGGCGGACGTACATCTGGAGTACCGGCGCCGGGGAGGAAGGTGCGCGCGCACCAGTCGAGTTCTTCGCTAGCCATGCGGGCGCGGTGACGACGAGCGTGCTGGCGCCGGCGGGGACGAGGGCGTTGTTGGCGATGAGTGGGGATCCGGTGTATGATATCTGTGACCCGCCGCCTGTGACGCTGAGGAGTCGGGCGGAGGGGATGAGGAGACCTACTGGGCCTGGGGTGCGGCACAGCGCGCACGCGGAGGGGAATATTGTTATTACTGCCGACTTGGGCGGGGGGATCAAGGTGTTCCGCCAGGACTGCGCCGGGGGTAAGCGTCGCGCGGAGGTGTGGGAGACGGGGAGTATGCTCTCCTCTCGGCGTCGCGGTAGAGGGCATGTAGGCAGGAAATCAACGGAGAGTGGCACCGGCTTGAGGGTTAGGACGGGGACGGGGTTGGCGGAGGAGAGGGGGCAGTCGGAGGAGATTATGCAGTGGGCGAGTGGGATTCAGACGCCTGCGTCGTCGGAGGCGGATGGGCTGGGGAGTATTAGGAGTGTGCGGACTGCGACGATGGGGACGGGGACGACGGTTGGGGCCGATACGCCGAGTGTGAGGAGTGAGAGGAGTGTTAGTCCCGGGGTGGTGAGGAGGGAGAGGCGGGGGGCGAGTTTAGCGCCAGGGAGGAAGGCGGAGCCGGCGCCGGGTGGGCTGTTGCCGACGCCGAGCTTTAGTTTGAAGCTTGCGAGGGGGGGGGGAGTAGTGGTGGTGGTGGGGGAGGAGGCGGGTGGTGGAAGAGCGATAGGGGGAGTGAAGGGTTGAAGGGCTAGGGGGTTTCTCGAGGCGTTGGGAGGGGTGTTTGACTACTGTGCTGTCTGTGTGTTTTTGAGCGGGGCTGGTTGGGGGTAAGGGGGAGTTTTGACGGCTTGGATGGATGCGGTAGGGGGTTTGATTACTCGTAGATATCATGGGGTGGGATATATCGATGCAGCGGATATGATGAACAGGATGTCACATATCGAGGCCCACAAAACTAGACGGGACAAGATCATGGAGATACAGTACAAAAATTACGTTGTTTCGTGAGGTGGGGCCGAGTCTATTCCCCACCGGCCTGTCTGTCTCTACTTGAAATCCAGCGACCCGTGTTTGCTTAGCTGTACACTACATGAGAAGCAAAATGCCACCAGGGTATGGAATTAATTTAGCCATGGGCACGGAAAGCCTGGTAACGCAACGCCGTCCCTATGCTTTCCCTCCTCTCCGCAGCTATGTAATATGGTGGGAAGGTGACACCCCTGTTCGAACTCCCCCTGGTAATCGTCAAATCGCCCGTCGCCTACATGACGATGCACCGTGGACATCTTGTCAATCACCACTTCATCAAGGCGCCGCCGTTGGCATTGATCTCGATAACAGTGTCGTCATAGGCTGGGCCTTACTCTGGAAGTTGAGCTCGCCCTGTTCGCACCAGTCCTTCACGGGCTGCATAGGAGAGTTAGCGAGGCTACAATATATCCAGGCAATACCAATGGGAGGATAAAGGGGGACAAACTAGACAACTCAGGTACTTGCACCATGAGCACTCCTTCTGGTACTTATAGAAGTTGTTAAGGAGCACAATGAACAGCACCAGAATGAGGATCAGCGCCGCAGCGCGAATGAGCCACCACACCCACCACAACGGCTTGCGCGCCTTAAAGAACCCAAGCGGTGCCTTCACAAAGCGCGACACCTCACTAGGTCCAGTCCCGCGCTTGCCAACAGTCTCGTACGGCGGCTCGGCGCCAACCTTGCGGGTCAGGGAGGTGGGGGAGTGAAGAATGCAGATGCCAATGGCGAGGCCCATCAGGAACCCGCCAATGTGGGAGAAGTTGTCCAGTCCGGGGAGGAGTCCGAGAACGAAGGAGATGACGATGTCGAGACAGACGAAAGCAAGATCTCTCCAGGGGTTGGGGCGCTCGGACCACGTGTAGAGGAGCTCAAGGAGCATGAGGGCTATGATGCCAAAGAGGGACCCAGAGGCGCCGGTGGAGGAGATTCCTGAGGCGGCAAAATTACCACCGAGGACGAAGCCGAAGATCCCCGAGGAGAGATACATGAGGGCGAAGCGGATATGGCCGATGGACTGCTCCATCTCTCGGCCAATGGTGACCTGGAGGAGCAAGTTGAAACCGATATGGATGAGTCCCGCGTGCAGGAACATTGGGGTAATGAAGCGGAACCACTGGTTGGGCGCGGCCTGGCCCTTTTCGTAGGCTGGCTCGGGAACACCGCCGAAGCCGCATGCCTGGGAGAGCGTGCAGGCGTTCTCGGCAGCGTCGGGGTTGGTCGACGTGGAGTAGGGGCAGGGCCAGGTAATCTCGGTGGTGTTCTGGATCGCGTCCATGCGGCGCATGCACGGTGTGTAGCGGGTGCCCATGCTGATGAGGACGTATGGGGAGGGGCCGATCATGGGGTTGAACGATGGCTTGACCTGGATGGGAAGACCGGTGAGCTGGCCTGCGTGGGAAATTAGCATACTGTTTAATAGCTATATATCTATTCGAATGGGGAGAACTGGCCAGACTTGACAAGCTCAGCAATGAAGACGGCAACCTGGATGGTGGTAAAGAACCAAACCACCCACGCCGTCCTTACGCCCGGCTCGCCCTTGAACATGCCCAACCCTCTGCGTCTCGGCTTCGGCGGGTCCTCTGGGGGTCCCGCATCGTATATATGGTCTTGCGAGGGATACTGGTGGCGCATTGGTAGGGTCTTTTGCCTCGGTTGGTCTTGTAGGGGTATGAAGTCGTTGGAGGTTCCCGGCGTCGCCTCTCCTTGTCCGTAGTATGGCGAGTTTCCCGCCAGGCTCGGGCTGCTTCCCTTGTTGCTCGCAGGGTATACGTGGTCGTCGAAGGGGCCGACGAAGGGTGAACTCGAGGGTTGTGGTACTATGGGTTGGCCCGGCTGCGGTGAATATGAGGGTAGTCTTGGGAGTTCGCGGTCGTCGTCGTAGCTGTTGTAATAGGGCTGGTTTTGTGCGCCGCCGCTGTGGTATGGCTGTGAGTTGTTGTACGCCATTATGGCCCTGCCTCAGCCTCTAGGGCGACAGCGGCAATGATATAGAGAAGGTGTCGCCTTGATGGCGTATTGGACCCTCTTGTGTCTCTCGATGTGAATCGTTTCGTAAGGGGGGTGGATGGTTCGGATACGTGCGTTGGATAAGCGACAGGCGGCTGTTGATAATAAGAGGGTAAATGAGATAGATTGCAGGTCATGAAGTCGTTCACAAACAAGAACAAAACGGGGTATAAGAGAGAGTGTTGATAATGGGACAAAAATAACAGAACAAGCTGAGAAGAATGAGGCTTGGAAGTGGAGTTGTAGATGGGTCAAAGGTACGGAGCAGGACGACGGTAAGTGTTGCAAGTCTGGGGTGGAGTCGGGGCTTGGTTGGCGCGTCGATCTCACAGTCGCCACTGCAAAGCTGAAACAGGCTGGAAACCCGCCAGGATTCTTCATTGGGAACAGGAAAGAAGGCGCATAGAGATGCAGTAAGATGCTTCTCTCCCCTTCCCTCAGTCTTACTTTACAGATCCTCGGCGCAGTGGAGTCTCTTCACCCTCGCCGCAAGGCCAGCCGTGGCTGCCGCTATTTGATATCAAGTGCTTACGTGCTGTAGTACTCGTGCCGCCCAAAAGTCTGTACAGGGGTCTGTGCAATCCAGCCAATTAGAATACTAGAATAATTAGGAAGTCATATATCAACTTTGGAGGAAATCTACACAAGAAACGCCAAATTACAGTTTGACAAGGTCAAACAGCAGAAAGTATGGCAGTTCAACAGAAGAAATCTCTCTATCAAGTTATGTTCTAGGGTGTAATAAGTTCCGAAATCTCTGTCTCACGCCCGTCACTATCATGGGCTAAGAGCATTGAAGAAAAGCGGCAAAATGTGTTGAAACTTTGGGAGATAAATACATACTAGCAAAAAAAGGCAGATGATGAGATTTTATAGGCAAGAATAGTTAGAACTCTTAAATATGACTATATAGAGACTTTGAACAGAGATATTCAAGAAGAGAAAAGCAAATGGACACGGCCATGAAGACCATTGTTACGATATCAAGTGCACCTTGCAGCTCGAGTGGGGGTTCAGGGGTGTGGGGAGCTTTCCGGGGTTGGAGCGAAGTTTTCAGTTGTGGAGTGAATTCTCAGAACTTCTCTCGCTAAAGAGAATTCACTCCACAACAATGATAAGTCAATATGCTTTTAGCCGATATTTACGTTATCTTGATATCTTTTTCTGTACGGAAGCTTTTTACATACAAAACACAATACATCCGATATCGTGAGATCCTCCTTGAATATCGACTTATGCTAATCTTTTGAATCTTATAGAATGCCTTCAAGAAAGCTCAATTCGATGACAATTGAACAGTGTCGTGCTCTTCGACAATGGACCGTCAACAAAACACCTCGACCTTCCCAAAAAGATTGTATCGCCTGGTTTTTTGAGAAGTACAACATTCAAATTAGTCAATCTACAGTCTCGGAATCCCTTAGCAGCTGATTTATCAACCTTGATGATCTGATTAATACACCAACAATAGGGAAGAGGAACGATATGAATATACGTTGACAGGAGTGGCAAGAACGAATCGATTCAAAAGGAGGTTTTACAACTGCAGAGATCTTACAAGAGAAGGCAAAGCGAATTTGGTCACAACTACCACAATATCAAGGGAAGCCTTCGCCAGAGTTTAGCATTGCTTGGATACAGAAATTTCGACTACGTCACAACATCCGGAATAGAAAGAGGCAAGGAGAAGGGGCATCAGTCAGTGAGACAGCAGAGGACGAGATGAGGGCTATTCAGACAGTGGCTGGGGAGTATTTAGAGGACAACATTTATAACATGGATGAGATGGGTTTATACACTATATAAGTAGATAGTATTTCCTTAGATAGGAGCTTTGTGCTCAACTCAATATAGTATTCTTTACAATACTGTAACGTGTTACTTGGAAAGCCTTTGTGTCTAATCCCCTGCCTCCTCTGTCAAGTCAAACTTACGCAAGAAACCTCTGTGTCTTCTATCATTTAGAAGTCAGCGTTACACTATGATTCATTACATGACATCACTCCTTAGTTACTGGGCTAATACTACACATGACATATCTCTATCAACTAGAGGCCTAGAAACATAAACGATAGCTCCAAAAGCTTCTACAACCCTCTATAATTTATTACATGTCATCACTCCTTAGTTATCCACAAGATTGGTTAAGTTATGACATAATCTGTTTATAGGGGTACTCTGACCTTGGACCTCCTTTCACTTCCTATAGGCTAGGAACCTAGGAGATGGTTCTATGGGATTCTCTTACGTCGACTACAGTTACCAAGCCTGGTTAGTCATGGAAAGTCTTGGAAAATGAGAGAACTACACTCCTTTAGCATAAATAGGATTGCCCTTTCCTTAAGAAAGGGCAAGCAGACAATACAGTAAATCGACTATCACATACTTCCACGTATTTTCCAAGCTTCCAAGCATTGATCTTGTTACTCCTTGTTTCTGAAAAGTCAGTGAGGTGCTAACCTCTGACTTATCCCTGAGTTCTCAGACTCAACATTTGTTACAACTTGTCTAAAACCACTCCACTACATCATACACCTGATTGCTGCGTTGTGGAATAGTCTAAGCTACGACCCTTTGGCTCTTTTTCCTAAGACGTGTGTTGTCTTAGTAAAATCATCCCTTCCTTGGGTGGCTAGATTCTCACATCTGGTGCACCCACCATTACAATCGACTTATCGTATTTTTACTGTATATAGATCGAGCCACTGCTCAAGTGCTCCTCTTCTCTTTCCTTTCTTCTCTAGATTGAGTTTAATTCATAATACCCAACTGGCGCCCTATGCCTTGGTGAACCGTGACAACCATCACAAGAATTTAGGGATATAGAGAGTTGGAGTAGAGGAAGAGTTTTAGAAAGCCAAGAAGTTTCAAAGGGTGGGATTAATTGGTTTTTATACTGTGAAATGGTTTTACTCCCACATCTATTTCCTTATTTTCATAAAATCAAATCATTACATCTAGAAAAACGAATCTGGTTTGTAGATGACAATGTTAGTCTTCATTTAAAGGGTAAAAGAATAAATTACCCTGTAACGTACATGTATAGCGAAAGCGCCAAACAAGCGAAAGCGCCAAAATTATCTACCCTCACGACAAACATTGTGATAAATCTACCACAACATTAGAAATCAATTGAAACTACTCGGAGTCCTCTTCCTCAGAGGTGTCTATTACAATCTGACACGTGCGCGCATTGTGCCCAGTCTCACCACACTTGCCACAGCGACGGGCACGGGTTTCTTCCCTTGGCTTCCGACCACGGCTTGCCCTTATTTCCTGCTCTACCTGCTGCACAACATCCCTCTCATCCTGTAGCTCTTGCGCCCCTTGTTGACTAAGTGATCCTCCTTGCTGTAGTCGTGTTTTCCTAGCTCTCCGGCGCTTGCTTAGTACTTCATTTGCCTGTCGTAGGTTTTGGTTCTCTCCCTTTAGCAGTGCTAATTGATGCATTATTTGCGATGCACCCTTTGTAAACTGGTCAACAGCTGCATAGATTGAGGTTGGAGAGCTATTTTGATGGCGTGAAATCCGAGTTTTAATAAATGTAGACTGTGACATAGCTTCAATTGGGTTGTTTGGTGTCTGAGAAACCCAAGGTTGAGCAGTACCTGGGCGGGAGCTTGGAGGCGTTGGTGTCCTTAACTTAAGATCAAGTGTAGATATCACTCTCTCAGGGTCAAATGGAAGAAGCCCTGCCCCTCGGAACCCGCCTCAAATGTTACTTTCCGTCATTGTAGTGTTAAATGCAGCGTGGAAGGCAGGAAAGAAGTCATCCTTTGTAATATGAGAAATATGAGCCTGCATCATATCTTCAATTTGCCGACCATAGGCCTGCTTTAACGGGCCGAAACAGCCAACATCAAGTGGCTGGAGTAGATGAGAAGAGTGAGCAGGCATACAAAGCGTAATAATGTTGTGTTCCTTGCAGTACTCCTCAAACTCATCTGAGTGGTGGCTCTCATGACCATCAAGGACTAACAAGCGATAACCACCAACACTCCGGGCCTTTGTATGCTTCTCAAAGTGCTGAATCCAATCCATGCCTCTCTCGTTTGTAGTCCAGCCATTTTCAGTAACAGAAATCACCCAATCGCTTGAAAATCCACTATTCTCATACCAAGATGTAAGGTGGTTTTTGCCTGCAACAATGATAAATGGTGGTACTGCCCAACCTTGAGAACTAACGCCTTGGATTACTGTAACCCATTCCCGATTACCAGGCTGTACCTTCTTTGCTTTTGCCCGCCCGTCTGAGCTTGTTACAACCATAGCAGTTGAGATAACGCCCATCATAAACCCAGTCTCATCAAAGTTGTAGATATCTGCTTCATCGATACCATATTTCGCAATTGTGTTATGCACAAGCTCAAACCAGCCATTAATAACTTCTGGATCTTCGCACTTAGCCCTCTGGTAGTCGTATTTGCGCTGAAAGCGTGTCTGGAGCTCTACACGCCGCTTAACAAAGTTTGAAGCCCAACGCGACCCAACGCGTGACGCGTCGCGTGTTGCAAGTAGTCGACTTGCCATATCTTCAACAACAGACAGCCGAGGAGGAAACCCTTTGGCAGCTAGGTCGAGTATATACTGAACAAGGACGGACTCCTCTAGGTTAGTTAATTTCTGTGAGTTGGCTTGGATATCGCGTCGTGAAGGTACACCTTCTAGACGATGACCTAGCTTGCGGTGGTCCACAGAATAGATCCTAGCAGCAACTCGAAGGCGTAACTTTGGGTCGCTTTGCATAGCCTGGATAGCTAGCACTAATTGGCTTTCATCGTTTTTATGGGGCATGTTTTGTTGTTGAGGAATTTAACATTTAGTTGGGGGGTTTGGTCACCGCATCATTTTGGCGCTTTCACTTGTTTGGCGCTTTCTCTATACATGTACGTTATAACAGCGTAAAAGAATAAAGTACCCTGTAGCTAGTAAAAAAGAATAAACTACCGCCCCACACCGCCTGGAAAGTGCTGCAACCGCCAACCTTGCTGTCGCTACCTCGGTGGCCATAGCCACCATCGCCACCACTCCCCAAAACCACCCCATCTCTCTGCCCACGCCCTTCTCCGTAGCCCCCGTAGCCCCCATAGCCCCTCTATGATGCGCATTTGTCCTCAAACATGAGGACGAATGTGTTACGATATCAAGTGCGCCTTGCAGCTCGAGTGGGGGTTCAGGGGTGTGGGGAGCTTTCCGGGGTTGGAGCGAAGTTTTCAGTTGTGGAGTGAATTCTCAGAACTGGTCTCGCTAAAGAGAATTCACTCCACAATAGCTGTATATAGATCGAGCCACTGCTCGAGTGCTCCTCTTCTCTTTCCTTTCTTCTCTAGATTGAGTTTAATTCATAATACCCAACTGGCGCCCTATGCCTTGGTGAACCGTGACATAAAACTCAATCTCTCTTATACCTCTTTTCCTGCTCTTTGAGCTGAACCCTCTTCTAGAATCGAAATCGAAATCCACTCTTTGAAAACCCCAGAACCAGAAACCTTATCCGGAAGTCGATTCCAGGACGATCTCGAGGCAACCCCTCAAAGTTGGCTTTCGACAGTCAGCTCGACACACACACACCACCTTCGCAAGTCAGACCTTTTACAACGCTCCCTCGACAAGGATATAACTGTGAGGGAAGTGCGCTCCTCTCGAGTGGCTCCTACGGCCAACAACTGCACAATAGGGCCTTTGGCAATATGTGTCTGACTTGACGATATAAACCGAAATTGAAATAGCAACTCGCTATGGCTTATACTGCTGAAGAAAAAGCTGCAATGGCAGCTCGAAATGATCCAGAACAAGACCAGGAATCCCTGGCAGAAGGAGCATCAATTCCAAGCTCTGCAAACCAAACCAATGAACTTCATGATCCTAATTTCAAATCCGAAACCTTCCTT